GAAGCATCAATCTTGACGGGCTCTCACGTGGTAACATGGCAACGATTCAGCACAATGCAAAGTCATGTCAAAATGTTTGGAGAATTCACGATAACGACTGCTCACAGTGTGCCATGCTGCGGTCCGTAACGCTCCATCTGTGAACACAAACGCGCTCGCGACACCCCCCCCCCCCCCCCCAAGTGATTGCGGAAACTAAGAAGCGGTCGACGAAAATGGAGCGGTTGCTGCTGCTGCTGCTGCACACAACTAGAGCGTGCAATAAACACATTGAAGCGGTGAACCCAAGCGCCCATGTTCCTCAGCCGCAGAGTTACACCTGCGTCGCAGAAATGCAAATTTACAAAAGTTCGACTATAAATAGAATGTAAATTCAGAGTTGCGGACAAGTGCACACATGCAGCAAGTCATGTGCGGTTGGCAGCCACCTACAATGATTTAATTAGTCGCACGACTTGCATTGACAATGGGCATAGGGCTGATGACTTAAAAAAAAAGTAACGAAACAGGAAAATAAAACAATGGCAACAACTATCTTTCGGAATAACCATTTTATTGGTTTTCCAAGTGAGCGAGCAAATTGGCAGTGGCCCGGATATAGTGCCGTATACGAAGGTGCTGCTGCCCTGGATTTCTACTGCAGCTTCCCTAGATTTCTACCGCCACGAAATAAAACCAGACAGGGACCTATATATATGGCCCCGGAGAGCCAGCAGGCAGGACACTTGCAACAAACACGCGAGCCCTATCTGTTAGCGCCAGTATTGAGCCGACGCTGTTTACTCTACAAGAGTATCTTTTTTATTTATAAAAGGAGGCGTGTGTTTGTGAACAGGGTTTCTAATACTCTCATTGTCAAAGTATCTTGTTCCATATTACCCAACATTCCGGCGAGCTCCCGATTGTCTCCATGGTATCCCTTATCTTATCCCACTTACTCTGATTGCCAGGGTCTGGGAGGATCAGACATTTGCTGTTCTACCTTGACACAGGCTTGTGCCTCTCGACTCTGAACGCACCTGACTTCTGCGGTTGCAGAGTCAGGGCTTTTTGGTCCACACACACACACACACACGCGCGCGCGCGTACGTTACGCTTGTGCTTACTGCCATGCCATCTTCACGTGGTCCACCAAACCCAGACCGCGGGTGGCGGGGGATGCTGGGGGCTTGTCGACACACGCCCGGTCATGCGTGGCCCCGCCGTCACGACGGTTCTCGGGATTTTTTTTTTCAGTCACTGAGACTCACGGCTGTGAGGCAGAGTGCGTGGGTGCAGCAATGGTTTGTACCCCATACGAATGGGGATGCGTCTCCCCCCACCCGCCCCCCCCTCCTCTCCCCGATGAACGCTCAGCCCAACCACGGGTTACAAGTGGCATTCGGTCCCGAATTTCAGACAGCGGTCGGGCAATCTAACTCCTCAGACGGCACAGGGCAATTATAAATGTGGTTATTTTTAAAAGCCAAATAAAACCTACGCCTCCTCTCGCCGCTGCTCCTCGTTTAGGCAGAGCCCACGCGTTAAATGACGGCAGCCTTAACGAGAGCAGCTTTTCTCATTATTAACTACATTTAAGCGAACACATCAGTGATGAAGTAAGGAATTAAGGGACTGCGCGTCGGCTGTGTTGCACGGGCACGTACCCAAAAAAAAATCCAACACGTTCATCTTTAACGCCGTCCTAGAACAGAATACTGTACAGCACTGTATACTGTATATATGCACATAAGGCTAATGTTTGACTCGAAAGGACCACCACTGCGTAAAACATTTGCACATTTCTTGGATTCTGTTACAAGGCAGTGTTAATGTTTAAAGCGACGGGTTTTTTTTTATTCGCGCAAATCAGGCTATTTATAAATTCCGCTTATTGATAATATACGTAAATGTCACAATATTGTATGCAAGCAAACAAAAAGGAGTTGATGCCCCCCTCCCCCCCCCCGCCTGCATCCACAGTAGCCCCCATACTTTACCACTTCTCTCCTCCATCTATTCCTTCGCCAGCTCTCGCCGCCCCCGCCAGCTCCCCCCATCGGTGCCTCCCTGCAGCATGTGCCTTGCGTCGATGACATCACCCCATGGGCAGGCACGTACGCAACCGCGCACACTCCTCCTCGCCGTCCTCCGCACGTGCCGCGCACGTGCCGCGCACGGGGCCCTACAGATATTTATCTGCGACGTGTTCACAACAATTCCTCCCAAACCGCCCCCCCTATACCACAAAGCGCCGCACCCCCCCCCCCCCCCACCTCTCTACCCCCCCACACTTCGCGAGCACCAACCTCCTCCCGTAGACCATTCGTGCCCCATTTTGCAAGTGTGAAAAAAAAAATGCCTCTCCCTCAAATCCCAGTAGGGTCTCGCTCGACAAATCGATTGCGCTTTGTTTCACACAAATCCCGTCCACCTTCGACGCTGCGGAATTGGAATGCGATGCAAAATTGGAATAATTGGGACTCGAGCTCAAGTGCCAATCAGATCGGCGGGCCCGAAGATGCACGCCGATAACGCTAGTTGCCCCCACCCACGGGCGAGGGGCCGCAGTTTGCATGCGAAGAAACCCGTTGGAAACAGCACGGGGGTGGGGGTGTCGGGAGCGGACGACGAGATGGAGACGCATGGAGGAGGGAGAGAGGCGAAAGATGATGAGGGTGGTGCGGGGGTGGAGAAGCGAGGACCAGTGGTGCGAAAGGGGGGGAGGGGGGGGGGAAAATCACTCGAAGTGAAAGAGTAAAAATTTGACATTGCGCTACAGAGGCTCATTTCCATGTTAACAAAACGTATGCTTTATCGGGCCTGATGCAAACATGAATACGGAAAAAAAGCTCTGCGCGATAGGAATATCGCAGGCGAAGGCCGGAAGACCCACTTCGTGCTGCCAGGCGCCACATTCGCGTTACTATAATGCCTTAGAATTCCCAAACAAATCCGGCTCAAGTTGAAGGGCGCCAATTACCGAATTCAGCGCGATATATTTCCCCACACGCCACAAAACGGCCTCCGGGCTGGCCATTGTGCACTGCGGTTGCTCGTAAAGAGGAGCTGAAAGGGTGCATTCGAGTGCACTAATGTCTCCAGTTTGTGCTCATGGAGCCTCGGATGACCAGCGCGCCCCCCTGCACCCCCCCACCCCAAACCCACACCACCTCCTCACTGCAACCTTCAACCCCTACAGGGACGGCACGAGTGGGCGGATGCTTTGCAGCGAAAATAGAGCCCACGACTTGTCACGTTGGCAAGGCGAACGATCATCAGGTGCCACTCAGCACAGGGCAGGGAGATGCCACTTTCCGTCACTATGGCGTCTCAGGATCGCGACAGGGCCTGCCCTTGTCTCCCCGCCGTGCCCGCGCGGGTATTTATAACCATACGCCGGCAAAGAAACGGGTCAAATTATGCAAACCGCGGCAGGCCCCATTGTTTACGTCTGGCCGAGAGCTAGCTTGTGCCGAACACAGGTCACCGCCGCATCTGCCTTAAAGGATTGCTTGCCACTCAGCCTTTCCCACCACCCACCCCCGTCCCTCAAAAGCTCAACCCCTCACTCCCAACCCCTGCCAATTAACAAAACAGCTGTTTCTGCCCTCCTCTCCCTTGGCAGTCGCAGGGGACACGCGTGCACATTCAGACGAGGCAGGGATAGGCAGCCAGACTGAAGTATTCGAGACAGACGAGGGACATGCAAGGGATGCCAGCCTTCTGTGTAAACAGGCAGGAGACAGACATGCAGACAGCTCAGGGCCCTTGGATATAGACATAGGGAAGGCGGAAACAAACAGAGCAGAGATGCTCGGTTGTTGAAAGGGGGGGGGGGGGGCGGGTGCAGGGAAAGAAAATGGGTACAACTGACAAGGATGTTCTCGACAGCGAAATACAAACCACATCGTTACTCGGACACATGATCAGCAGGCCGGACGTGGACAAGACGCGTAGAAAACAGCGAGACAGAAAAAAAAACACGAAAAAAGGGAGACAGAGGTGGGACACTCAAAGACGAACGAGGCTGACGAGATGGAGACAGGCCAAAAAGTGGGGAGTAAGAGACGTTGAGGAGGAAAAAAAACTAATAAATCATGGTCAGCAGCACGCAGGGCCTCATAAATCATTGTGGAGCGTGCAAGAGGCCGGCCTGATATCAGCAATGACTTGCTGACCCCCGCGACCCTTTTCCTGGTGCCCGCACGCACATACGCGCTGCATGCGCAGCGTTCCAATGAAAGATTTTCCTTTAATCCCGTCCCCAGCACCGCACCAATGCCCTCTCCCCGATTACAGTCGCCCAATGCCTCTCCCAGCAGCCAAAGCACCCACCACACAGATGCAACAAGAAGAACAAACGCACTGCAAACACCTAAAAAAATCCACGGGCAAAGTAACGATTCTGCATGGCTGCGATTCGACGAATGGCCACGGTTCAGGGTCACGATTTAATTGACGAATTGATTTTTTATTTGCCCTCACGGTACATCTATAAATATATCGAATCAATAGCGACATATGATTTGTAGAGGCGCATGAGAATTGAAAATAACACATTTTCACAAGCAATCCTTAATGCATGCACTTAAGGTTATAAGAGTTGATTTTAGTTGAATAATCATTACGTACATACTAACGTGGATTTGTCAAGATTTTGGGGGGAATTTGCTCAACGAGTTGGAGGTTACGGCGCAGCGACTCGAGAGGAGGACAGGCGGCGATCAAACGATCAAAGCCACCGACCCTCCCACGCGGTTGCAAAACTAGCGGCCATCGCACGGCCTACACACAAAGGGCGGTACTCAAACCCACGTGGACTGTCCGATACTTTAACGAGGTAATTACACGCTGCCGTTGTTGTGGCCACAAGAGCAGCCGCTGGACCTATTAGGGATGCGACGTGCTGGGATGTGGACACGGGGTGGTGGTGGTGGAATGGTCGGGCGTGCGTCGGGAGTGGGAAGTCGGGAATGGGGAGGAGGGCGGCACGGTGGGTGGTGGGGGGCAGCTGTTACCTGGAGCAGCTGGTGTCTCCTCGTGTTCACATGACCGGATGAGGGCCTCCAGGATGCGAGCCGGATGGTCGGCCTTGGACTCGTCGCTGTTGGCAGTGGAGGATGAGGAGGTTGATGGGGGTGCACACGAGTTCGCACGTATTCACACACACATGGACACGCACACAGACACGCACACACAGGGGCACGCATGCACAGGGAGGGAAACAACACATGTAATTCCGTGTTGCCAGAGATTACTGTACATCACCGAAATCTTTCAGTTGATTAAGTTTGTATTTTCTTGCTACTCGAAGGAGATTTGAAGGTAATGCATTGCCATTAAGTTGCTCCGCTATATCAGATTGAAGAGGCAAAACAGTTTAGAAATAAATAATGCAGAATCATGAAAAATTTATCAAAAATATATCAGTGCAAGTTGGCAACAATTTCATTGTCACAAGTCACATGTATGTACGTTACAAAGGATGAAGTTTGTTCAGCAATACAGGTGCATGCACCCTTATTTAATTTTTACCTGTAACTCGGACAGAATGCAGTGACAATTGAGACAATAAAGTGACAATGGGCCATTAACAATATACCGATTCTCAGCCTGTGTTAGTCACCGTGAGCCCAATATGGAACATTACTCGGGGGATATGGATGCAAGGGAGAGACTTTCCACCATCAGCCTTCTCTCTCAAGGGGGGCAACAAGGAAACAACACTGCACTGGAAGCGTGGGAAACACGGTCCGAATTCTCAAATTCCTCCTTAACCCTGGCAGATGCCCACGTACTGCACAGGTGTCAAAACAATTCTGGCTTTAGCCACTGCCAGGGGCAGGGTTGCCACCTCTGCGATAGACAATAAAACACCACATCATGTGAACAAGACTAGCTAACAATGAATTATGTTTCATGTTCCCAGACAGCTACATCCAGAAGAGGAAGATGCAGTTGGCAAACCTGCTGCGCAACTCACAAGACGGCGCCAGCCTCGGTTTAGACGGCACGATGGTTCATCTCACTCGGTGCCACACCCTTTCCCAGCGGCCATGCCAGCGCTCAAACCCGAGTAGCTCCCTAGGAATATAAGCCTTGCGCTGGAGGTCGACCTGTCGCTTCCTTCCTCAGCTGCCAGGGCAACCGACAAGGTTGCTAGAATCCGGGATGGAAGAATGAGGCGGCTAGGAGTTGCTCGTGTTCGTTGCCCGCTCACCCGCTTAGCCTGCACAGCTACCCAGCGTGGGGAAAACCAGTGCCCGGGGTTATCTGGGTACCTTGGCGACCGCTCGGTTGCCATGAGCAACCATCTGCTGATTCAGAGCAGCCCGCAGAGGAGTGCGTGAGGGGTGGCACTGGGCCAAGAGCATGATGTCATACTACGCTATACAGAAAGGTGACCTCATCCAGTAAAGCGGCAAAGGGAGGGAGATACAGGGATGGGGGGAGCGAAGTGGAGGGTGGAAAGAAGCATTAACGGGAGACAGGAGTCCGTTGAGGGAATGGATAAATTAAATAAAAAATCAAAACCAATTAGGCCAATCTGTCATGCTTTCAGCCGATAGCACGTGCATGGGGGAGGTTTTGGGCTTTCGAAATGTATCGATTGGGCTTATTTTATTATCGGTATTATTTTTCCTCCCTCTGCCTTATGTTTGTGTATCGGCAGGAATTCAGTGTGGGGAGAAGGAGCTCTTCTCATACACACTCCTTGCCCGCCGAGCGAATGAGATTTACGCTGCGCAGAGACGGCGCGGCGAAGGACGCGCAGTCGGGAACGGAGAAGGGTGATGATGTGTGATGACGATGATGAGCGAAACCCTGCTACTGCAGGTGAACGTCGCTGAAGGGAAAGATGTTGTTGAAGGAATGAGAATTAAAAAAATGGGGAAATAAATCGCTAAATATATTTCAAATATTGCAGAACTAATATTATTTCATCAAAACGAAACCAAATGCATGGTCTTAACATATTACATAGCTGAACATTTCTGGCATGGATTACATTTTTGGGTAAATATTATCTTTACAGTAGGGAATGATATTGTAGGTGAAATGCAGACAACACGGTATATGCATTCATACGGCGCACACACATGCATATATGTACACGTCTCCGCTAAAAAAAACCTTCACGCTCAATATTTTCGCACAACCACTGCAGAGGAGAAAGCTGCCCCATAGTGAAATTGACGCCTGGCCCATTCATTAACTTGCAAGGTCACTCCAACAACTAGACCAGTCACAGTCTGACGTGCCACACACACACCACCACCAAACCGTTTCGACGAGCTGAGAACCAGTGCTGCGAAATGGTGTGATTTTGCACACAAATGGGCATTCATTTTTATGGTTGTGAAAAATAAATTTTCATAAAAATTGCGTGCTATATTTGAGGCTCCACTCTACCAAAACGATTACTTTGGGGCTCTTATTGCCAGAGGTTCGTTCGGGTGCGGTACAACCCAACGAACATCCAACAGCCCCGAGTCAAATCAAAACACCCCCTAACTTACAGTCAACAACCACTTAGCTCGCAAGTCTTTCCCACTGCACAAACGAGCCGCGACGTGGCCAGCCTGGCTTTGGTCGAGCCGGGTTGTTTTTCTCCACTGCAGAAGCCTAGCAGAGCCATGCCACTGACATCACATTGCCATAAACGAGGCAAGACGCATGTAGATGACGTGGTGGACTCACGAAATTCACACACACGATGAACGCTTCATTAGCCCCGGCTCTGGTGCTACTTGGGTCAGATTCAGATGTACTGCGAGGCTGGCGCATCGAGGTTTGGTTCCAGGTTGGCATGGCAGTGGAAAAACCATTCCTTACCATGAGAGCCCTGCATTGGTTTGGATTAGATGTGCCAGTGGAAAAGTTTTCTCCGGCTTCATGGCAAAACGAGCCAAAGATCGAGTGACTGACCTGGCGCGGAAGATGAGCGGGCCGAGGCTCTGGGCGAGCGCACGTTGGGTGATGCGCCCGCGCGCCGCGTGGCAAGCCCGCGCCAGGTGGCGGAGCAAGTACCGCAGGGCCAGGCCGTGCTGGATCGGAACGTCCACGCCGCCGCCGCCGCCGCCACCTCCCTCCAGCAGGCTCCGCACCATCTCCGCGCAATCGTTCGCGTTGAACGCCTCTGTGTCGCACACACGAATGGCAGGAGAACACAAATCAGGGATCCGCATGCTTTAAGCCCTGCAGACTGTCAATGCAGGCGATGGGACAGCAACGGCATTGTGGAAGAAAGTGGCGGCAAGTTTCAGAGATATTGGCTGCTAACAATAATGCACTTGGGCAGGACACATCACGAATAGGGATGATGGTCAGGGGTTGAGTCTAACAACAAAGAGGCAGCTTGGACTGGTTCAGATATCACTCGCTATTGATGTTATTTGTGGCCAGGAATTTACCTCAGGTCACCAATTCATAGGCCAGTGTGTTAACTACTGCACCACTGCTCCATCCATATATGATAAAATATTTTATTAATCCATGAAATCCTCATGCAGTGTCAATACTCTTTCAGTATGGCCCTGCATTGGAATGTTTGGCAAACTTAATCAATATTTGGCTTACAAATATAAAGGTATGACCAGTAGAGTGTGCACGTATAACAACACGGCCTACAAACTGTACACAGCCACCGGGAATCACGTTGGGGCAGGAAGGAAATAAATGACAAATAACGACAAACACAAAAAAACAAGTACGGCAATAACATTGAAGGAAAGGATTTCCTGCAAAAATAGGTAAAAAAAGGGAAGGTTCCACAAAGCCAAATGGCCCTACGAAATGACTCTAATTGCGAGCGGTTGTTTCGCAGCTTGCGTTAAGCTTAGGGGGCAAGGCTGGGCGACTGGGGAAACAAGCCCCGGTGGTCTTTTTTCCCCGTCACGTCATTCAAATGAAGAAAACTGGGTACCCACGTTGGGAGGAGCCAGGCCAACAAGGGACGGCACGCCGATGAATAATTAACGGTGAGATTTTGGCTTCGTCCCCCGTGGAATTGAAGCCGAGTTTTCGGCCACGTGGCGATTGGCTCCGGGGGGTATCAGGGGAAGGGGGCTTCTCCTCTCACATGCCAGGTTCTCCTCTATTTAGCTTATAAGATACCCCCACATTCTGATTCGCTAAATTGTGTCAAAAAGGCACGCAACCTTTGCCAGCTGCTGAATAGACAATTTCCCAGCAGCACGTAAACCGTCACACGTTAAGGCGTCTCCTTTGAAAAGAAAATGTACGTCGAAATAATGTTGTGGAATGAATAGACTACTCGGGGGGACTTTGGGTCAATATGGCTTTAGAGAGCACACGTGACAATTGAAAAAAAAAAGAGAAACTTAATTTTTACGCTCATGTATTTGAAAAATTAAGTGCACGTATTTGTATTGACCGTTTTGTCAATCCACTGCTGGATAAGGGCCCTCCCCATGCCACGCGGGCCGTGTGGGTTAATTGACCATGTTTTACCACTCTAGCCAGTAATGAGGAAGAGTACAGATGTGGGAGCGCGGAAGTATGGATTTTGCTTGCATTGCTTTTTGTTCCCTGCATCCCTGCAGCCTGTAACATCTGTTTTCTGTACAGCGCTCATCCACCCAAGCACTACTCAGGCTCAACAGTGCTTCGAATCCAAGACCTGGATGATGACAGCGGGCGCATTCCGGGTGAATTGGTCAGAGGCTTTTGGTTATTATAGAGTCGTAATAACCCACAAGGAATGTGCCGAGCATCACGGCGGTTGATTTTATTATTTTCAACGTGCAGTCGCGATCGTGTTACCGCCTTAGCGACTGTAGTGACGAGCGGCAACGGAAGTGATCGCGCTAACGCCACGGCAATGGATGGACCCGGTGCCTGCCATGAACTACAACTCTGGCAGGAACACTTCATCGAGCTGGAGCTATATAGTTGTTATGTGTGTATGCTGAACTTCTTTGGTACCGTACGCAGCCGACCGTGCTAATAAAGTCATGATAACCTCAGGTTATAAGAGTTGCGCGTTTTTAAATGCACTTACATTATGGCCAGCTAAGACATTTGGCCGGTGCGGAAGAGTTTTCTGAATACCCTCGAGAGGGTGTCTTTGCAGTTCCCTCTTTCCAAGGCCTTCCGTGAACATAGGCACGGCAAACAATTGCATGGCTACACCTTTACTTATGTCTGTGCCTAGAACAAGCCAAAGTTTCTGCTTTTCTGATATCAGCTGTATAGTTGGCACCAACTGCAGCCCCAGCGCATCATGTAACTCGTCAGTACTAGCCACGGCACGGCAGCACCAGATGCTGTGCATCACTTTCACCGTGCGCTGCCAAGCGGTGGCGGATGTCAGAAAAATAATAAAATGATAGTAGGGATAGATAACAAAATGGTATCGGGTATTGAGGCACGGGTTGAGTTTCGGCCCTGAAAACAAAATACTGGCTCACGAAGAAAGAGATAAAGTAACTCGAAAAAACAAGGAGAAGCAAAGATGTCATCTGTGAGTGTATTCGTGCCAATACTGGCAGCACTGGAGATCCAGGCCACGGTTAAAATCCGCAGCCAATGATATCCAAGCTGGTCATGGCACAACCCTTCACAACGTTGTACTAGCTGGCTTCGTGAGGTATCATCAAAAATGCTGATCACATACACGGTATGAAAACACCTTCATCCAGCAGTGGATTGACAAAAAGCTATACATTATTATTTTTACATTCTTGGATTCAGAATAGTTTGCTGGTGGAGGCAGCAGTAACATTGTGGAGACAAAGCACCATTGTTACATTTGCCCATTTAAAGAATAACAATGGTACTGTCCTGTGCTTTTACTGCATCCAGCAGTAGATGGACAATGGGATGCAAAAGTAGAATCATAAAACAATTAAATAATAGTCATTTTGAAATTATTGATGAGGCGGTTGAACCCTCCTTTGTACCCTGTTCCGGATGCACAGATGGAAGTGAATTGTGGGTGACGGATCCTAGGGGAGATAAGTGTCACGATGGTCCCTGTCCCGTGCCCGTGGAGATTTGCATACGTCACGAATAACGGGCGGACCGACCTGTCGTTTTGAAGATGACGTCGCTGACGGAGGTGGGCACAAGTGGGTTGGGCAGCTCCTGCAGGTAGCACTTCAGTGCGTCGCCCACGGCGTTCACATCCACCTGGTCCACGTCCACCGCACTAAGGTCTGAGATGCCGACAAAGCGCAAGGAGAGACAACGTCAAGGTCGCGATGGAGATCAAGGTCACGGGCCTCAAAATGAGCTGCCCAAGCAAGCATTTCTCTCTGGCGGCCTGCGCCTTGACACTGCGAATTCACGAAGTTTGACTCTGGTGATCCTCCCATGTTCATTGATACAGGCGGGAGAAAGAGGCTTGTAGTTCAATATCTCTTTTGGCTGTCGTGTTTTTGTTGTAAGCCGTTATAACTGTATAAAAATGGCACGAATAAGTGTAACTAAAAAAATCTACACTCGCACACAGTTTTGCATTCAGTAGCCTCAAAACACTTACAAGATAATGCGTGTGACGAAGATTGATAAGTATAAGAACAATTTCTAAAATACAGTACTAGTGAAAATAAAATGAATCTAAACGCGTTAACCGGATTAAAAATGTTCTAAAGAAATGCTGTTCACCCCAACGGAAATGAAATTCCCTGCCGTTTTGGCACGCGGTTATTTTCCTTGGGCCTTCCATCGGATCCTGTGGCCTAGAAGGTCTCGCAAACTCACGCCAACCCTGGCCAATAACGGCAGGGACTATTTCTTGCCTTCCCGCCATGTGAATACCTGCGAGCATATTTCTAATCTAAAAAAAACTAACATCCACGACACTCCCAATCCACATGCCTTCAACAGGAAGAGCAGGAATGTGGCATCACTGTCATGTTAACCTTGACCCCCGCTATCAAACTTTAGCCATGTAATTCACGGAGATCACAAAACATGTAACGGAAAAGGCGTGCCTTGCTATCTCCTGCGTTTCATTTGGGACAGGTGGCGATAACAGACTCCTTAATGGGCTCCTGCCCCGCTTTTAAGAAAATCAATTGATAATCTGGCTTTAGCTGTTCAATAAATAGCAAGTGCCGTGTCCAGTTAATTTCCGTTAATGCTTCACAATTTGAATGTGTAAAGCGCCTACGTGTGACCGCGTCTCCTGATGATGCACAGAGACACGAGGAGGAGGGCATGCAGATCAGGGGGACGAGCGCTGAAAAAATGGGAGTTTATTGTAGAATTGATTATTTGATCGAATTGATTGAATTGATCTTTACGCATCGATTGCAATGCTTGAGAATAGCTTATTTTCAATTTGTATTTGTTGTAATCTCGTTCGGAAGTTACGTTACGAGCAAAATCACTTGGAAGTTACATCACGTTTTGACTTTGTTTTTGGGCTGTACCTGTGGCGTTGTTCGTCATGATGCCTGACGTTTTGCTCTACAAGCCAGAAGCTTCCTCTTAAACTGAACAACACACGGTGCTAAAAACTAATTTATTTAGGAACTGCTATTTGTGTTTAGTTGGTTGTCCTTCCCCCGCACCTCCGATTAGCATGGTTGTTCTACGTACAGTGTGAAAGAAGTTCTACACACGCATGTACTTGCGACTCGAAAACACACCGCAGTGCTACTCTGCTTCAGCATTGCCCTCGCGTATGAATTACCCAGGCCTCCGCTACCATATCAACTGACTCGACTAATTCCCCCCACCCATCCATTCCCTTTGCTATGTTGCGCCACTTCGCGATTAAAGGGAAAGAGTTAAGAGGGTTTTTTTTTCTTTTTTGCAGAACCTCACACGACACCTGAGCACAAGTACAAGAGGGGATTGATGGGGGGGGGGGGGCAGGTTAAGCTGCCTGAAATATCTTGGCAGCGGGCGGCTTAATTATTTATTAAAAGACTATGTATAATTAAAAGTGCGCGGTGAACGGGCGTATTCTTGAGGGCAACGTGAGACTACGACCGTGTGCCGATGCTCAATGCATTCATTTATAATATCTTCCCCGTCCCACATCCAGCCCGTTATCACTGATAACCGCCACAGTATACTCATTGTGCCATTTCGCACTGTAACGTGCAGGTGAGTTTGCGCGAATTATAAAAAAAAAAACCCTCGTTACTGCGCTGACACTACCGTTGACCGGAGCGCTTTTAATTACCACTCCCCTTAACTAGTGGCCGTTTTACCAAACTCAAACTCTTATCATGTAGATTAAATGGTTTTTTTTTTGTACGTGGATGCCGTGTTGCCTGAGCTGTCCGTCCCCTTGTGATTGAGTTTCATCAGGGCGCCCAAAGTTAGCGCGGGTATCTCCTCCCCAAGCCATTTTCGTCCGCTCGAAGGACAAGAATTGCAATCCTGCTCAGCAACAGAACTCTCTCCCCTATTCGCACAATGTCCTTGCCACTCACGGTAACCAAAGGCTTGGGTTTTCTTTATTTCTTTCTTCGCATTTGGTGCCGAGATGAATAATTGCCATTTTAATTATTTAAATTTGAGCATGACATTCGTGCTACAGACTCAATCATGGCGACAATTTTTATAGATGGTGGTTGGACTGCATCGTAACCATTTATATATGACACGCTGTAACAGTTATTTTATTGATTTCTTTTCTGGCATGCATTAAGTCCATTATAAATTTGTAAAACATACTTTGCTTCTTGCATTCTCCGTCTTCAAGGCACTACACTCTAACATTCACACAGATTACTCGATAACCGCTCGGCACGTTTTTTTTTATCGTGGTATTTTTATTTATTTTAAATTCAAACAATATACCCCACAATTCTCAGCTGTCAGTAAGAAACATTTGATTTTATGCAGTTGCATAGGCAACATAAAACTGTTCTAAATTATTTGCCGCTACTTTGACAAATTCTGGCATTTCAAGTAAAGTCGCGTGCTCCCATGCGACCGTACACGCACCAAACCGTGAAACAAAACCACGTGTGCTTTGTTCCTCCAAACATTTGGCCCACAATTATTTTTGAAAGCGGCGCGGTCGAGAGTCCAGGAACATGTGGCCCGTATGGCCCTCGGAGGCCCTAATGAGCCTCAGCTTGCATAACATCACGCTGATAAATTGTGCATGCGACCGAGCGGCATGCAAAAGTAATGGGGAGATGGGAGGCGACTGCAAGCCAAAAATCGTCCCGTAACAAGTATGTGACTGCGCTAGACTGGCCAAGTGCTGTAAAGAGATAAATAAAAAAATATAAGGGGACAGTACACACCTCTTACACCAATGCACAGGTATGCCCACAGCCACCCATTACAGCAAATGAGATAAAAAGGTAATGGCCGTAGAATTTGGGATTAAAGAATGGTCCACAAAAAGCAGCACTGTGCATGATGGAGTGCTGCACGAATTGGCGGTGACTCATTAAAGAACATTCAGGGATTCCTCAGGCATAATCCAGACATTGTAATCCCCGGCTCCCAGCGTTCGGCAGTGCAGCGCAACTGCCATGCCTGGCACAGAGCCAGAGCGAACTGAAATAACCCTGTAAAGCTCGCCTGTTCCTTATCCACCAATCCCAGCACAAAAGTGCCCACGTGCTTCCAGAAATAAAAAAAAATAGATAAAAAAATATAAAGGCACACACTGGGTTTTAAGGATACAGGCACGCGCAATGAATATTTGTTTCTGCGGTTTTCTTTCGTGACGTAAACGGTACGAGGACACAAGTTGCGGTGGGGCTGTTAAGTGCGGTAATGGAAAACAAAAATCCACACCCACCTACGCATTTTTTACAAATTCAAATAAAAATCGCAAAAACCTGTGAATGGTAGCAGTGGGATGTAATGTGCCTGTTCTGTCATAGGTGAGGAATGTAAATAAATATGTCCACCATATTTAACTTGTCAAAATTACCACCAAACGGTTATTATAATACCACCAAAAATGGGGCTCTCGAAAAAGTTTGCAATCTAATATTTACAGGAATAAAACAGATTGTTAGCCAGCATATCATTATCAAAAACAAGATTTTTTAAAATTGCTAATTTACTTGAGACCTTTCCTACATTGGGAGACTTTTTATGGCACCCTTTTGCGACAAAAAGAATGAATCGATACAAACCCAATAAGGGTAAGCATGAGTAATTCGGCACTCTCTCGGGTGGACATCAGAGGCTTTTTAAAATTCGATTACCAATTTTATGGCTATTCGTTTAAGCCTGCTTTTCACGCACGCACCGCACGGCTGAAAGGTGGTGGTGGGAATTATCACCGCTGACCCGGTCAGTCTTATCAGGGCCACCAAGGCCCCGGGCACAGCCATCTTGGGCCCATAGATCAGCCAGTCTACGACAGCGCAGGTCTGGCCAGGAATATCAGCACTCCTCCGCCCGCTCAGAGAGCCATCCATCCTCCCCCTCCTCTTCTCTGGGTCATGACCGACTGCTGGCACTGCAATCGCCTCCCCCCCCCCCCGCCCTCAAGTCAGCACGCAATGCCTTTGTGTGTGCGTGTGATCAGAGTTCAATTCCTGGCCATGGGTAACATCAGTGGTGAGCGATATCCGACTGAACCGGCCCTGGCCTCCCCCTCAAGTTGACTTAACCTTAAACAAGTACCTACTACACCTTCGCGACAGCATTTGTGCTATAATCTCCAATGCCCTTCTAATTTCAATTGCTTTTGTCTCTTCTCAACACGTGAACAAACCATCGAACTCAAGTCTCTCTGGCCTTAGAGTCCACGAATAACCTATGTCAAGGCTCTAACCTATTACTTCCTTCTCCTTTCTCTTTGAGATATATTCCCAACATCCACTTTGCACAGACTATTAATAGTGTTAGGTATTAATTTGTGCGTGGTACTACACATGGCGGGTTGCATACGATATTGTGAAGCTCTTTCAGGTGGTCCTCCTCGAAAGGGCAAGGAACTATGATCTCAGAGATTTAAATCTGCACACAGCTGATGGGTGCGCAGCTTCAGTTGAGCACAGACTGGCCGTGTGTGTGTGTGTGAGGATGTGCGCGCAAAAGAGCACAGACATTGTTCAGGCAAAGCCTCAACGAGCGAGAGACATTCGGGGCTCTGTCACGCGAGCGCCGTCCGCAAGCAAGCAAGCACCATGGCCGACTCGGGGTGTCTGCTCAAGTGAGGCCTCAGGGGCCAATACCTACAAGGGCACACGTCAGGACAGGATCGTTCTGGGATTAC